TGGGAATAATGGGTGTGGATGAGCCGCCGGGAATGACGCCCAACAGATTGTCCCAGCCACCAGTAACGCCACCACAATGACGCTCAATCAGCTCCTTCAGCGGAATGGACATTTCCTCTTCCACGGTGCAGGGATTGTTCACGTGTCCCGAGATGTTGAAGAGCTTCGTGCCCGAGTTACGGGTGCGTCCAAAACTGGCAAACCAAGTGCCACCGCGACGACAGATAGCGGGTGCGACGGCCACAGTCTCCACATTGGTGACCGTTGTGGGGCAACCAAAGACACCCACATCAGCGGGGAATGGCGGCTTCAAGCGGGGCTTGCCCTGCTTTCCCTCGAGCGACTCAATCAAAGCGGTCTCCTCGCCGCAAATGTATGCCCCAGCGCCACGGTGCATGAAGACATCAAAATCGTAGCCAGTGCCGCAGGCATTCTTGCCAATAAGGCCAGCCTGGTAGGCCTCGGCGATGGCCAGCTGCATGTTGGAGGCCTCGTTGTAAAACTCGCCGCGAATATAGATGTATGCAGCCTGGGCGCCCATGGCAGCGCCCGCAATCAGGCAGCCCTCCACCAGCTTGTGGGGATCGTGACGCATGATGTCACGATCTTTGCAAGTACCAGGCTCGCCTAAAAATACAGAAGAATGTAAATCGGTCTTTTGACACGGATTTCAAAATGCTCACCTTCATCGGCATTCACCACCAAGTACTTGGGGCGTCCATCGCCAGGCTTTTGCATGAAAGACCACTTCATGCCACTGGGGAAGCCAGCGCCACCGCGACCGCGCAGACCCGATGTCTTGATCTCATTGATAATCCAATTGGGACCCTTCAGGACAATCTCCTTGGTCTTGTACCAGTCGCCACGCTTTAAGGCACCCTTCAGCCTCCAGTCGTGGCGTCCATACAAATTTGTGAAGATGCGATCTTCATCGGCCAAGGGACCAAACTTGGTCTTCGTCTGAGGTGGCGGTGTGCCCGCGGGTGGGGCCTGTGTGCTCTGCAGCCGCTGCAGCTGCAGGCTGCCAGGCAGAGTCGCAACTGCAAGAAGCACATGATCAAATCAATTAATTGCGCAGAAACTTTGCTTTGCGTTTTGTTTTGCTTTGCGCAAAAATTACATAAGTTGGTTGCAAGGGAAATGATTGTTTTACTGGCTTGCAGCGACTTGCTTAACAAGTCTCACAAGTAAGCGGACAGCGAATGCTACAGTTAAATCACTAATTAGCACTTTTTAAACGAATTCTTCGCCTCTATTTACCTAATTGCGGCTTGGTTAACAAATTATATCGCACAATTGCAGCCATTTTCGGTCCTGCCAGCTGAAATGTGACTGGTGTGACCGACCCTCAGAAATCCAACAAAATATACTGATGAACTCTAGTTCTTTTATACATATTCCTCGATTTTGATATTTTGATAGAATATTTAGCCATGCCCACTTAATTGTATACAACTGATGAATAAATTTTGTTCAAGATAAGTGTTTTAAGTACTCTTATTTGTTGTATTTTGACAAAAACACGGTTTAAATGAAAAAAATTCATTAAAAAAACAGTCAATGTAACCATCAGTATATTTGTGCAGCCCTAGGTTTATCGGTATATCGGTATATAGTGCTCTATTTTGTCAATTTCATCAATCTATTTAATTTAATTTTCAACGGTATATAAAAATCCAATAAAAGCAAGTATTTGGAATATGCCAGTCGAGAAGAAAATTAATTCACTAATCGGATAAAATTATGTGGGCATGGCTAAATGTTCTATATAGCTAATAATATTCCACGGAATATCAAAAACGAGGAATATGTAAAATATAACTTGAATTCGTCAGTATATTTACGGTATATTTTTAAAATGAGACCGTATATTTTGGTATATTTCTGAGGGTCGGACGCTGACACACTGACTGCAATCTGTTATTTGTTTTATTAAAAAATGGCCCAAAGAACAAACAATAAGCCAAGTAATGGCACGGCAACTGAAGAAACAGATGGAAGTCTGCCAGAAACTACTCCGACACTGCACTTGCGCCTGGAACAGCCGCGGGACGAACGCCGGGTGATCTTTCACGAAGGTGTCATAGACAATGAGCATTTAAACCGCAAGAAATCCAAATGTATGTAACCTTTACACTATTGCTTTGTAGTGCTACGGCTAATGTGTCCAATTTGTAGGCTGCTGCATATATAAGAAACCCCTGGCATTTGGTGAGAGTTCCTCGGAGGACGATGAAGAATGTGAGAACTGTTTTGGCCATCCCGAGAAGCGCAAGAGAAACGCAAGGCACAATCATAATCACGATAATGACAATGAGCCATCTACATCGGCACAGGCATCAACGCAGCCAGGACCATCGGTTGGGGATCCAATTTCCCCGCCCGCTGAGCCCGTTGTTTCGCCAGTCAAGCCTAAGGCCGATCCAACCACACCCATTGACCAGTTCGAACAGACGGGAAAGTCGTAGGATGACATTTTGATTATGTATATTTTCAAACGTTAACAAGTTGTAACTAAATACTAACAGCTATAAACAATCTTTTTTCCGGCAGTAAGAATAACTTCTATATGAACATCTGTCATAAAGAGATAGGGCAGGCACATGGATGTGTAAGTGTTGATGCGACTAAGCGACCTTCATTTCTTCGGCTTCAGCTCGAAAGATTCGTTCACATTAATGGGGATGTTATAGGCCTTTGCCTTGGCCCGTGAGCGCCAAACCTGGCAAAGATGTAGCGTTTTTTAAATAATACAACAAAAATGGGTTTTAAAAATGTACACACCTTAATTGTATAGTCATCGCTGGTGGTCACGAGCATCTCAGAGTCTTTTGGATTGAAGGCCACACTGTTTACCACGTCCGAGTGCTTGAACTTGGCCAAACTAATGCCATAGTAGCGATCCCATAGGTAGGCATGCTGGTCCTCAGCCCCACTGGCCACATACTCCTCGCAGACATCGAGAAATATAAAAAAGCACTCGGTGCTGGGCGTGTAGGCCTTATGGGCGCGCAGCATGTTCCCCACTCTCTTCAGGGTCATCAAATCAATCACATGTATATCAATCTCCTGAGCAATTGGCGGTGGCTCCAGAGGATTGGTAATCACATAGTGCTTTGGCCAGGGGCGCGTATTAACATATAAATAGCGATGATCCGGACTCAGCGCCATGCCAATGATGTGTCCGTGCAGATCGATGACTTTGTCCACCTGATCAAATCGATCCTTGACGGAATCGTAGTCCCACCAATCTGGATCCGTGCGCGGAGTTTGCTGCTGCTGCTGCTCGGCGGCCCGCTTGGCAGCTATTCTCTCCTTCAGCGAGGGCCCAGGATCAAGTTTTTTGGGAAAGTAAACGTTCCTTATGCGCTTGAAGCCGATCTGGTGCGGGGTAAATGTTTTAGAGCCCGTCGAGAAGATGAGATACTTAGGCATGCTATTCTCCAGTTCATCGTACTCCTCATGCACATCCATGGAGTCGTACTCTTCCTCGTCCTCTTCTTCGTTGGCGTCGTTTGTAGGGGCCACTGCTTTTCTGTATTCCTCCAGGTAATGAATGGTGGCATCTCCAGGCCGGGCTCTGGACCGACGTTCGCTTATGTCTGGCAAGTAGTTCTCATCGGGGGTTGCACTTCGTGTGCGTCTAAGGCTGGCGGCATGGGACAGAGGATTCCCACTGGCCTGGGAACCAGATGGCTCATCGTTACTGGGAAACGGAAAGGGCGGACTGCGCGTCTCTTCCTCTACCTTAGCCAAGGGATCGTTACTTTCATCCAACCAAGGACATCTGGCCACCATTATGGCCCTCACCGAGCTCGCATTGCGGTTATAGAACTTGTACAATTGGCTCATTATCGGAACGTGCTCAGAGTCGATCTCTTGATTGGCCTTATTCAGCCACAGAACCGATGTACTCACCAAATGAGCCAGCCAATGCAGGTCCCCTGAGATCAAATACTGATCACTGAACCAAGTGCCAAATATATCATAGGGACGATTGACTACTCTGCAGCGTAAATGGGACTCTGTCGCTCCCAGATAGAACACGGCAATCTCTCCTGATGTGGACTGTGGGGATCCAAAATGCACACCCGAAACCAGCAGCAGTGTGTCACTCTGATTGAACTGCGAATATTGAGAGTACTTCCAGCTGAATTGTTTCATATTGTGCGCATACTTTTCCGTGCATGGATGCTGCGAGTTCCATACCTATGAGCAGGATTATTGATTAACACCCTTTTCATATCGAACGCTGGAGGACTACTCACTATCACATAGCCATCCTTGGAGCAGGTGGCAAACATCTCTCCATTGTGTGCGAAGCTTACATGTAGCACCTGATGCGTATGCCCGTGATTATTCTCCATCGAGGGCTCCAGACGCTGGGCCTGAACAAACGGTATTTGTGTGGACAGACGCTGGTATTCCGATCGCCAGCTCTCTGCACCTGGCTTTAGCGGTATGCTCGGCGAGGCTCTGAAGTTCTCCTGGAACTTTTGACGCCACAACAGATCATCGTTGGCTATGCCGTGCCACCTCCTGCAGCACAGACTCGCCTGGAGCAGTTCGAAGACATTTAAACGCTCGAAGATCTTCAGCAGGGCGGGCTCTGGCAAGGCCCACCAGCCATACGGATCGGTGCAAGTCTCAGTCTCCCCCCCATGGGGGGTTGTGTACTCTCCGTCTGCTGCATTTGTGTGCTTTACCAATCGGGCCTTTTTGAAGGTCACTTCCATTTGATTTCCGAATTTGGGCCGAGTGTCGATACAGCTGTTGCTTCTGCAATTAGGTTTACAGCTCGACTGCCTTTGTGCTATTGGTAATAACTGGTTTTTGCTTTGCCTTTGTTTCAGCGGATAAAACTAAGAGTAACTTTCCCTCTTATTGTTAACGCTTTTTTTTCTTTTGGAACAGCTGTTTGGGTTTGAATGGTATGGTCACACTGGTAATTTGGAAAACAAACTAAATTTGTGGCAGTTTCGGCTTTTCAAAATCAAAGGATTGTAGTTAAATCAGATAAAAGAAATGTTTTAAACATGCACACGATTATGCTGGAAAGGTTTCGCATGCAACACTCTAAAAAGTGAGTAATTCAGCCATGACAGGACACTGATAATGGATTTTTTGTTCTTCCCCAGCATTTCGAGGCTCTTACGGCACTTTAGCCGTCAGTTGGATGGTACGCACAACAATGCCGTGGTAATTGCAGCTGCTGTGCGTACCCCGAGAACACCATTCAAGGCGGAGGAACAGAAGCTGGCTGGAATTGTCATCGATGAGCTGGTGAAACGCACTCTTGTGCCACGAGAGGAGTTCAAAAAGCTAATTGTCTGTTGCTCATCGAATGCATCGGCATCCGACTGCAATGCGAGGCTTGCCAATGTAGCCAAAGAGCTGGGCTTGAAGAGCTGCGAGGCACATGCCCTACAGGACGATATCTGCTCGATTGCTGGACTACGCATGACATTGGATAGTCTCCGGGAGGGAAAGGCGCAGTGCATTATCACGGGAGATACACGCTGCCAGTTTCTTGAACCGGATGATGGTCTTCTGGCCAATGAACTGATGACCGTGCATCAGGCTCCGGCCAGAGGCAAACAAACCGCTAAGGCAGATCCCTCCGAACCAACGCCAACTTTGGGAGCGGCCGCACTGGCCTGGACTACATACGAAACTGCAGAGCGCCTTCAGTTGCAGCCTCTAGCTTTGGTGCGTGAATTTGCTGTGAAAAATAACAGAGAAGATGCTCTGTACCACGTTCATGGCGGTCAGCCTCTTCTTCCCAGTCAAATCCACACGTGGGATCTGGTTACGAGCCGAGAACCGCCCAAACCAAGCTATTTTCACCTAGACCTAAGCGGAAATAATCTGTGCACCCACGATAATTTACATATAACCGCCAGTCACCTTCTCACCCATCTGGTGCACTCCCTGCCTGCTGGCGAGTTGGGCTGTGCGTACATGGATGGAAGCGATGGCCGTTTGATGATAATATTTCTCGAAAAGCTGTGAGTCCCATCGAGTGTTTCCTGTTCAGTGACCCAAAAAAAAATATCAATGTATCTTTCAGCAAACCCAAATCGCCCAGGTGGACGGTCTTCCTCTGCTGACACTGTACACCAAAAAGCCGTGTCCTTTGTGCGATGATTTGGTGTCACAATTGGAACAGAAATATGCTGGTAAATTCAGACTGGAAAAGGTTTACATCGACCGCAAGGAGAATGTACGTTACTTGCGGCTATTTCGGCATGATATACCTGTCTTGTTCTTTAATGGCCAATTTCTATGCATGCACAAATTGAACGAGGAAGCGCTGCGAGAACGTCTGGCTGGCTTGGAATAGGTTTAAACATCTGTACATCTGGCATAAACCAAATTTAACGTTTAAAATAATTCGCCCATGGGTTTGATGGTAATATCGTGAATCTGCAAAGCAAACATATGGATTGTAGGTACATTTTAAGGGGTTAATTTCTTCGTACCTGCACGTGAGGCGGTGTGCGCAGTGCATATAGCACTGCATCCGCTATATTTGATGGCTCCAGCCTGACCATATCCTTCACATAGAAGTGTATCTCTTCCGGGAATATGTTTGTGTTCACCGCCCCGGGGCAAATGCCGGTCACACGCACCTTGCTCTTGTGCAATTGAAACTCCTGGCGATAGGTTTCCGTAATTGCTGTTATGGCAAACTTGGTGGCCGGATATATGTTGAACGAGGGCAAAACGTCGATAAAGTTGAGCACTTGCTGTCCTGCAATGCTGTTTATGATTAAAACATGACCCTCTGTATCCCGCTTCTTCATGTTGTTGAATGCCTCCCTAGTGCACCAGAGCACACCCATCACATTGGTGTCAATGACATCACGCAGTTTTTGGGTATTCCCCGGCGCCACTAGTTCCGTTTCCGTGTGATGCCAGCATTGTTCAGCAGAACATCGGGTCCTTCCAGCTCCCTTTCTATCCAGTCGAAAGAGCTCAGGACCTGGTCCTCTTTCGATACGTCGCACCGTCTGGGAATGAAATTGGCCTGCAAATGTTTCGGCAAGGTGTCCCTGAGCTCCCGCAGCTTTTCTTCTCGCCGTGCCAGACCCACCACACGCAATCCTGCACCAATCATGGCACGAGCACATGCAGCTCCAATTCCGCCGCTTGCACCTGTGACCACAGCGAGTTTGTTCTGCCAGCGTTCCATGCTATCGAGTGAATGAAATGCTGATGTAAGCTTTTGGAACCAGGCAGCGCCATCTAATTTGCCTTTCTTTGGCTTCATTAAATATAGGTTAATCTCCAATGGTCAAATGGAATTTGAACTCGATAACAGTCAACGTGTTCCTCTACATCGATGTTAACAGCGCTGCGCTTAACAGTTAAAAAAATATTTCAATACTCTGTTATGTTAGTCCTGTAACAATCGAATTGTTAAATATAAGGCGCGCCGTTCAAAATTGAACCGACGGTTTATTTACGATACATCGGTATCAGTCTTAGAAAAGGTCTTTATTAATTAAATTTTAACAACAGTTCAGAAAACTATGAAGATACTATATTAAATGAGCAAAATATGGTATAGACATGCCTGAGAACTGAGAACGATTAACCCATTGCAACCCAAGGTGTATTTTAATACTCCACCGAAAATAATAAAAATTTTAGCGCAGTTCAGGAGATGTCGTGGTTTTTTTAAGTTCAGAGGAAAGATGGCATGAATCTACAAGAAAAATTTACAATCGTATAATATTTTCCGCCACTTACCACTTACTATTTAAAAAGAGGGGGCTGAAGTGGGCTAAGTTCGGTTTTTCAGGGTCTATACAGCACGCAGGTGTTGAGATTTTAAGCAAATTTATAGTGAAAACATTCAATTTAAGTCAAATAAACGTTAAGAAAGCATTTATCAAACAAAATGGCACAAATGGACATCGAATTAAAGAAGGTGAGGCCGCTGTCCAAGGCTCCAGGCGAGACCGGCGTGCAGCGCGTGCTTCCCATTACTCATTTCTATTCATCCCCTCCCGCAGGCCTTCACCGAGATGCAGATCAACAAATTGGAGACATCCAAGAAGATCAATATGATCGACATGAAATGCGATATGGTCAAGACGGGCAAACACAAATATCTGTTGACGGAAAAGGGCACAAACAATTTGGACAATGATACGAGGTGTGTTTGGATGTGATGCCCTATAATTTTTCTTTTATGCCTTAATTGGAAATCTACTCGACTATTACAGGGTTTATATGTCTGTTGGTCGCATGTTTCTGCTTACGGACGTTCAAAATATGCGCGAAGATCTGAAGATCAAGCAGGAGAAATGTGAAAAGGCCATTGAACTACTCGAAAAGAAGAAGGAATTTCTGCAGAAGTCATTGAAAGACCAGGAGGACGGTTGCGAGAGCTGGTTCAACAGCGCAAGGAGGCTGATGTCGTCGCGAAATAGATGCCATTGTAGCCGCACAAACACACAAGAAACACACATTTTATTCGGTTCATTTTAAATATAATTGTCCAAATTGAAGTTGGCATAACTAACGAACTCGTTGCCCAAATTACGTTCATGCTCCGGTCGGAAAATTGCACTTATGCACCGGCAACAGGCTGTGAGCCAGGGTTCCACTACCTCTCCAGAGCAAAATATCAGTTTGGAATCACTTAGACTGCTCTGCAGCTTAAGGATAATGGCAGATATTTTCTCTATGCACTCCTTGGACAAGAACGGCGGGTCGGCCTATGATTAAATCATATTTTTTGTGATGGTTTATCAGATAGTCTGGATCTATACAATTGATATCGTAATGGACCAAAATCAGTGCCGTAGGCTGAAAAACGCTCGTCGTACTCGAAGATGCTGACTAAAAAGGAGGGAGAAGGTCACAAAGATGGGTAGTTGGAATTTGACTATTTCCTCACCGTGGTCATATATATCTTTAATATCCTTGTAAAGAGATGGGAACAAGACAGCAAAGCTATGCTGTAGTTGCGTTCTTCGGGTTTATTTGGTTGTTCCTTCAATAGCTTGGCAACAATGTTACGTACTGTGAGTTTGGTCTTTTTGCTATACCAGAACTGGCTCAATTGCTGCAGATATAAAATATGACACGTTTAGCACGCCAAAACTCGAAGTTATCTTAATAACTTGCCCAATTCTCTTCAAATGTTGCTTCCTTACCGTCCTGGTTTACAATGCGATCCTCCTCTTCGGCCTCGCGTTTGGAACGCTCTGCCAGGATTCATTGAGAATGGCTAGTGGTGTCGGCGGGGAGTGCAAGGTCGTCCTCCATGACTATATTTTCTGACACTTCAAAGCAGAAAGGGCTATTTTAAAAATAAATTCAAACTATAATGTGCGTTCGCTCTGTTCCGCGCTATGGCATTATTTAGTGCTGGCTCTTTAGTTCATTTCTATCTCACCGGTTCCACAGTTTCCGAGATATGGTATTATTTAGTGCTGGAACTCTACTGAGCCAGAACTAGTTCAAAGTGTAAGAGGAAGAGACCGAGACGTATTTGATTTACGTGTAAAATTTGTATTAAATTTTTGTACCATATCGCCAGTGAGAAACCCTGGACTCATTTGCTGCTCAGTGAACGGTAAGTTCGCAGATAGATTTTAATTCAAAACATCTTGGATTACGCGGCATTTTGTGTGAGACAACGCTGACTGTCTGCAGGCGCACGGGGAATGAGGAATATAATACCTGGCCCAACTTTCTTCACGCGACAAAATCGTCCCAAAATCATTTAAAACTGTACGCGGAGCGGAGCAACGAACCCCAACCCCCCTTCGTTCCTTATTAACCCAATTCGACACCGAGTGCTGCTGGCATTATAATCAAAAAGTATGCAGGTCTCTTGTGTGTGCCCCTAATCCGATCGCTTGTTACTGGGGAGAGTTGGAGAAGCATATAATTCAAAGTTTTCGAAGGGGCCCTGCACTTTGAGCGCGGTCTGTAGTATATCTGTGTAGATACATTCTGCTTGTCATTTGATCTTGTTTTATTATTTAAAGTTCAGACATGTCAATCGGAGGCAATTTGTGAGCGTGCGTGTACACCCGTACCGTACCCCCGTGCCCGGGTATTCTGTTCTACCTCTGACGTGTTCCTTGCTGTTCCGACCACGTGACGTCATTTATTTATACATATTTCATCACAATTTTATCAGATTGGTGACTTTTTGGTTTCGCATGAATAATCCAAATCTATTGTCAAAGGCAATTATCAAAGTGAAGTACCAGTTGACCCAGTTCGTTGAAGGACCCATCCTTAAAATCAATAGTAATGTCATATCTTAGCCCACCTCCGCTTGAATGCTCTTGCATATTAAATGACACCTAATGACCCGCCTTCATTCCCGCTACATCAGTCATTTTATGTACACATATCCCAGGTACATGTACATACACGTAGGAGTCCGCACTGACCGCTGCGCCGCCGCACTCTCTCGGTGTGTGTTGTGTTGTTTACCCAACTCTTGCTTCCGCGGTACGGTGGTATCTCTTGCTGTCTCTGCCTCTCTCCTTCGCACTCTGTGTGGCAGCCACCTGTTTGGCCATATTTGTGTCTGTCTGTGTTAATATTTCGACGTGTATTTCGTAACAACCATGCACTGCACATTGTGGGCCAGACGTCAGTCAGTCGTATCATCTTGCACTCCCCTGTCTTGTCTGTAATTGCAAGTTTCTTAAACTTTACGAGGAAATTTACAAGTTTTACTGTGCTTTGCATCATAATTGCTGGCATTTTAAGTTTTAGGAAAGACCTTTTCGGCTGGAGATAAGAATTGAATGAATATTAAGCCATAAACTGCAATTGAAGAGCATTTAAGTTTCGCTTCTTACCATTGTGTTTTAACCCTTTTGTGATTTCTTGTTTTTTGTGGCCTATGCAAACATGGTTTGGTCTGTAATTCATTTCATCTTGAGTCAACGTGACCATTAAAACGCCTCTTTGACACGCCCATTCTTGTGTTTAAGTGGTGTTGTGAAGTGTGTCTGGGTTTGCAACTTTCCATTTGACTGGTTTAACAACCGGAGTCAAATTTCAATTGAAAGCCAAAGCGCGTGCTGTTCCAAAGCCCTGAGCAGCACAAGATCTCAGTCGTAGACCGAGTCATAAGTTCATGGAGTGTGGATCAGCATATGCTGAAAGAAAGATCTCTAAAGGAAGAAACTTCACCAAAGGTGAAGAACACACACAGACATTAGATATGGTTCGGTGGTTGCCTAGTCAGGGTATGGGGGTTAGCTTATCAGGTCAATACCGAAGCGATAAGAACAGAATTCCCGCTGATAACGCTGAAAGTAAACTCATTACGTTTCTCTATTGTATTTTCTTCCCTTTCATGACTGACTTGCAGACTAAAAATCCAGTAAGGTGAACAGCGATCAACC